ATATATATAATATCACAGTCCCCTCTTCACCCTCACTCTGATCTGATGGAGTCTGTCCGTTACACATAGAGAACTGCGCCGGTCACAGCCTGCCCGTCCGTTACAGCACAGAGGCCGGTCATAGTGACGTTCTATCTGACCAGAGAAATGTTTTCCGAATCGTCACTGTCCTCATCATCCTCGCTGCCCAGTCTGACCACAGTCTGGCCGTTACTTCGGTGCTGTAGCAGTGACTTCATTGGGAGCTCGTCTGAGGAAGGAAAGACATTGTCTTTCGGTTAGGTAAGAAAAAAGAAAAGAATGATTTAGTTTTTGTTTTGGAAAGAGTTTTAGAAAGTGTTAGAAATACGAATTTAGATTTTGTTTTGATAACAGTTTTTTTAGTGAGAGAAAGCAATGAGAATTTAGTTTTAGTTTTTGTAAGAGTTTTAGTAGGAGTTTGAAAAAAGAAATTAATTGTAGTATGTATAGTAAACGTTTTAATACGAGTATACGAATTTAGTTTTACTTTTTTTACTTTTAGTAAGAGTGTTAGTAAGCTGTATTACGACACCTGTAGTGCAAATAGGTTCCAAAGATAAGCTGTCCCCGTGGTTTTATGCACCCCGCATACTTAAGCAAAATTTGATTATTGTTTTGCATAATTCCTGATTATTTTCCTTTATCATTCTTTGTTAAAATTAACAGGATCGCATAATTTCATATTTTTGGGCACATTTTGCATAATTTCAGAATTTTTTTTTGCATAAAACCGCGGGGACAGGATAAGATGTGTTATTAAAATTTAGTAACATACAAAGAAAAGGAAGGGCGATTACGAAGATAATTGTTTGATAGGAAAGAAGGAGCAACCCTCACCAGAGCACCCGCCATTCACCCATAGCAAATAAGGATTGCCACGTTCTGTCCTAATAAAAGATTGGTTTACGTGCATTATGATGTGTTTCTTTTAAAAAAATTAAGTTTAAAAAAAACAAAAACTATTTGCTGGTTTGAGTAGAAAGAACAACATCAAAACACTGTAACAAACATTTGTTACGTGAACCCCCCCCCCCCTCCCCCCAACCAAAAACAAGACAGACAGGCATAAACAATAAAGATAGATAGCATAATATATCAAGCGCCTACGAGTGGTGACCTCTTTCCACGAGCCACAGCTTGAATCATTGCAAAACAAATCTCAGCTTTATTCTACAAATACAATCGCCTAAGTCAGTTTCTCCGGTTTCCGGACAAATACATTATTTATTCCAATAAAGACATCCAGAGTTATTTTACTACTAGCTGGGTAGCCGTTCGATGAATGGAATTAAAAGAATCGATCGTCAAGTCATTTTCACTCAAGAGAAAAATCGGCAAATGATCAATTGAAAGAGATATGTGTGTATCACATGAAAGGGAAATTTAGATATCACCTGGAAGAGAGATTTGCTTAACACCTGAAAAAAGTATCAATAATTAATTTACATGAAATTGTAATACTCTAACACTTACTAACCTTAAAACTTTACAAGACTTCTTTGTTCCTGGTCAGAGGCGATGACACATGGGCAATACGGAGTCTCTAGTCCTAGATCTAGATCTAGGGCTCGGTGTTGCTAGGCATCTACTTTCTAAATCACTGTCAGCGTCACTGTCACTTAAGAGCTAGCTTTTTCCCCCTTTTTTGCCTAGGAGTCAATCTACAATTTAGAGCATTTCCGGTTGTTCTGATCGAACAGATTGTGTTTGTCTCCCATGTTTACCCCCCCCCCCCCCCCTTTCCAAAAAGGCACCCATCTGCGACGACGTGGCATGTTTTTGTTGAAAGATTACATTGAACAATTTAACTCATGAAAAGAAAGGAAGTAAGAAAGAAAGGAAGCCTGTGAACGGAAGCCTCACTTGTTTACAATGACGTCTTAGAAGACGGACTCTCCCAAGAAACGATCAAACGAAAACTAATCAAAGTTTGAAAAATTAGCTTAGAGTGACTTCAGACTCCTCAATAAAACTGTGCACCCTTTAAAGGATTCTGAGCCACCATTATATTTTGGAGGGGCAAATTCGAAAGTTAAACTTGCGAACCACTTAACTTTTGAATTTGAAAAAAAATTAATGGTGTTTCATTGAAAAATATCAGGTGCTCAAGTCATGGTTCTGATTTGGGCGTTCTCTTTTTTCAGTTTTCTCAAAACTTAAAGAAAACACACACACACACACACACACACACACACACACACACACACACACACACATACACACACGCACGCACACACAAACTTAGGCGCTTGTGGAATGGTGCTGACGGGGGATTCGTTGGCGGTGTTTTATAATCCAGTAACATTGGCATTGTAATAGTCTTTCTCCATCTTGAAGGATTAACTAAATTCTCGAATTAAATTGCTTTGTTATGTATAGATATAGACAAGCACACCGACCTGACAATGGTCATATTAGAAATTATGGGAGAAAGCAAGACAGACGGAAATTAACGGATATAATACACGTAATTTTAAGTTTTACACTTCTATCGACACAAATTAGACCATTTAGGAGACACGCTTAGGCTCTGTCTGTTAAGGTCAACCTTGGCTGAGAGAGCTACAACGTCCCGAGAGACAGATGGAAATACTCGATAAAAATTCGCTCCACAGGGAAATCGAACCCATGTCTCCTGCGTGCGAACGGCGAAGTGACTAGCGGTTGTACCACAGACATCGCCCGAACAGAGGGATAGCAAATAAGTACAAGAAGACCCACCAGTGACAAGATCCAGACATCTACAATAAACGTCTTTTTCGGGGCTGTTGATGTGTATGTGTTATGTCTGATGCTTCTTCAACATTGTGCTGCGTATTCTCCTCTCTTTGTCTACCTTTTCGTGCCACGCCATCGTAGATATTATCATAGATCTAGTTACAAACTTGACGAACATTCGGAAAGCTTATGTTCAAATCTGCATGGTCTCTCACTGTCATTCTACTTGCTAAAAATGTGTGTCTTCATAGCTCTGTGTCCAGTCTGTGGACCATAAAGTTAATTAGTATCCTTCTTTCCATATAATTCGATCTTTGTAAGGGCTTCAAGCCTCATGAAATACAAGTATACAATACACATATACGTAACAGACAACTATTATAAAACATATAGATCAGATACCTGCGTCTGTGATATAGAATTTAAACATTTCCCGTACACGCATTCGATTTATTTGTGAGGTCAATTTTTACCGAGCAGCTCCGTCTGTCGAGGACATTGTAAACCTCTCAATGAGTGTTGACCCTGACAGCAAGATGGAAGCCGCCGCCTAAATAATCTAAACTGTATATGTGGGGGTATAAATTATCTTCATTACATAATGTGCTGTATACATATTATACATGTGTATTATAGGCATGTGTGTTGGTGTGTGTGAGTGAGCGTGTAGATTTTGTGCCTGTGCACGCACCACCATGTATGCTTGTGAGTGAATAGGTTGTTTGTTTTCGTGTGTAGTAATGAAGAAAGGTAATGACACACTCACTCACATAATAAGTTGATTGTGAGAGAGACTTAGGAAGGGAACGAGTGAGTGAGTGAGTGAGTGAGTGAGTGAGTGAGTGAGTGAGTGAGTGACTGAGTGACTGAGTAAGTGAGTGACTGAAAGAGTGAGTGATGCCAATGTGACAGGATCTGGACAATAAAGATGTATCTGGCTAATGTTACAGACCTGTCTCCTCCCACGTCGTTCCCCCTGCCCCCCGCTTCCTGTAGATCACAGACAGAATCATTCCTGCCAAAAGAACAACGACCAGGTCGGCTGCACAGTGCCAGGAAAAGATAAGCACGCTGAGCATGATCTGGTCGTGGTCTTCTGATGACCAATGGCTATTGGGCAGCGGGCTGTACAAGATAAATGCGATCTGGGGAGAAGTAGAGTGAAAACGATTTTGTTAAAAAATGACACGTTTGTACA